TTCCATTGGACAGTTATTCTTAATTGAAACAGTGAAAATACATTCTTAAAAAATTTTTTATGGCAAAGTTCTTACAATTTTCCATCAGACATACAATTTTATACACTTAAGTATCAGATAACGTAACATTAATACCATGTTTTTCTTTATCCTGTTGTTGAACAATTTTGAGCCCTTGGTTTTCATTATTGGTTGGCTGTCGTCAGATTGAAACATACATTGACCTTGAGCAATGACTTGAGTGAATTTACAAACTATGTCAACATAGTTGTGAATGAACACATAAAATTTAATTTATAAACTTGATTTTTAGAAAAGTCTTTGATGAATATTAGTAATTCCAAACTACTAAATAATTTTTGTAAGAATTTAAAAAAAACAATCTCTATTTCCTATATATGTACATTTGTCACCTGTCACTTTTGAAATATCGTTTTAAAGGGACCGACATTTGATTTCATTAGTTCTATTCAGTCTACGTCCCTCACATCAATCAATGGTCGGGTTCTTAAACCCGTACCATGACAAAAAATTTTTTCAATTTTTTAACGTGTTTGTGAAGTCCAGTGTCGGCTTTTTATATGTTTTTTTATATGTTTTAAGAAATTTCAACACACCTAACAAAATCATAATTTTGAAATTTAAGGAAATGAGAATCTCTCCTTTGTATGTGGTATTTTAAAAAATTTGACGTAAGTTAAATAAAAAAAAAAATTACTAATCTTTACCAATTAGTACTTATAAGAACATTTTATTGTAGCATAGCTCTGATGATGGCTTTGTAAAGCCGAAAGCGCTCAGCTAGGTAATTGCCTAAAATATACACACTTCAAAATTACTTTTTTGCATTTTCTTCGACTTAACAAATATCGTTTCAAATGCTTCTGGGCATTTTCTAACGATACAGTTATTTCGTGGGGGGAAGCTGTCATAATAACGTTGCTCAATTTTAATCTTTTTTTATATATTAAGAGCACAAAGAAAGAACATGCTTACATTCTGGAATGAAGAAGTAGAGGGAAGATCATATGCTTAATTAGCATTGAAGTTTATCATTCTTTTCTTTAATACTGGTATTATAAATTAAGAATACTGTTGATTTAATCTTTAACGACTTCCTTACCATTGGAAATAAATGAGTAGCGAAAAAGAGTGACGAACAGCGACCTTTGAGAAGAGGAAAAGCCGAAAAAAGGAGAAAAAAAAGTGTTTTTGCCTTTACCACTTCACTATTCTTCAATATTTCTTCGCAAGCTACACCAAAAATAATATTTTTTATGTTTTGTTTATTCGATTTGTAACCTTGGAGCAAAAAGATTAAAAGAGGAATGTAAAGGTAGTGGGTGCAAAAATTATTGTTAGACAAGAAGTGCGATCTTTAGGGCCACATTAAACAAGGAAAGAGAGCTCTCTCCTTGTTTGACATCAATTTAGTTGGGTTATGTTACTGTTTGTCCCAAATGTACACATGAAATCTTATTATTTATATTGAAGTTTTAACAATTGAGTCGCATTTTAGACTATTACCGTTAATAATTAATTAAAACTTTCTCGTCTAAGACCATATTCTGAAAAATTTATATAGCTACTGTTAATAAGGTGTCGGAAAATTTAAATTTGGCGCATTACACATTTCCGAATATGTCCGCATTCAGAGGCCGTTTTTTGGTTTCCTTTTCATCAGGAATTAGATTCCCTCTTTTGTCTTTTTGCTCGATGGTTGTAACCCATCTTCTAGTTGGTAAGATGTTAAAATCTTTGATTATTATCAACTATCTATTCGTTTTGCTTCTATAATTTTTTATTATTTTATTCCTCCGTAGGAATCTTAATTTGACGCAATCGCTTGAAGGTTTCAATAATTCTAGGATATCCGGTTGATCAATCCTTTTTTTGTGAAATTATCTCTTTTGTTTTGTATTTGAGCAGGTGCCCTTTTTAGTATTAACATTTTTTTTAATGTTTGTTTAATTCTCTTCAACGATTTTCTAATGTGCGTATACATCGTGTTTCTTCTTCCTTAGTATTGTTCTGAAATGATTTTCTTGTGGCATTTTAAAGTAGTAAGTATTTTATTGGGAATAATAATTTCTGAAGTGGAAATTGAAACGTCAATAAACTTACTTTAACCTTCAATTGTGGGTTTTATTCCAATAATAATTAGTAATTTCTTCTTTAGTGGCTTATCAATTTTCCTAGCAAGTGATTCTTAAGTCATGACCTTTGCCCATACTTCTCGTAACTCGAAATGACAAAAGTCACTCAATTAAAGAAATCAATCTTTACAAAAATTTGTCCATAATATTATTTGCCAGTACCTTATTTGAGTAGTGCTTGCTTCTGGCACAATTTTTGCCATTTGCGAAAAAAATAGTCGAGTTTTAAAGTTTTTAGGATTTTTTTTAAGTTATCCGAAAATTTATCATGAAATTCGATTGTCTCTTTGAATGCTCTACTAAAATCTTCACTGTTTTTTAGTAGTTTTCAAATCAATTTTTTCTTAACATTTTTTCAATTTGCTTTCGTATATTTCCCTTTCCAAGTATTCATTATCCAGTTTCTACGTTTTCTCCATCATAAAGATATTTTATGTACTAACTGTATCATTTGTATTTTTAATTTTTAGAATTTAACCAATCGTGTTTTTAAAATAATTTACACGGTTAATTTTATATTAAATTTATTAACGAAATACATATTCGTAATACACGCTAAGATTATATATAAATTAAAAAAAGAAACGTCAAAATTTATCAACATGAACCGAATGTAGTTATAGCACGGATTTTAAAGTATCCCCTCCTCTACTCCAAGCTGACCGAATTTGAACTCCACGTTTTGGAGCTTTGTAGACGATTTCGTTAAAAGGAAATTTTTGGCAAACTCTACAAAATAAAATTTCCGTCTTTGATCTTTCAAATGTCGGTAATTAGGATTCTTAGGTGTTTTAATAACAAACTTGCTATGAATTAAAAAAAATGACCTACCAAGTCCGTAAACTTTATCCTCTTGTGAAAGCTTTCAAATATATATTATAAACGGATTGATTACGGCTGTCGCCGCTTCTCCGCCCCCAATTTCCATCTTTTTCTGTCATACACAGTTTGCCTATTCTAATGTGTTCTGTTGCCTCCATTGCTTCATCAATATCGTTGCGCCAACTTCTTCGTGGTCGTCACCTCTTTCTTCTTTCAGGAGGGATCCATTCCAGTACTCTTTTAGGCCATCTGTACTCTTGGCATTCTTTTTAACAAGTCTGAAATACCAGATTCATTGTTTTCTTTCTATGTCATCATTGATATTTCGCTCCATTTTCATTTCGTTTCTTATTTGTTCGTTCCTAACTCTATTCTAGTTTCGATCTACCGCAGCTTCGTCTCAGATAATCCATTTCTGTCGTCATAAGTTTGTTTTTATTAGCTTTGGGTGACGTCCCATACGTCCGAACCGTTTAAGTGTAATACTTTGGACTATACTACCGTAAATGTGTTTTTTTGGTTCTCTCGTCGAATTGTTTTTTTTGCCAGAGAAGAGAGTGTAAGGCACGGGTCGCTGCTCTACCCTTGTTTATTTCTTTCCCTGATTTCATCTGCGCTATTTCCCTTCTTATTGAAAACGACCCCCAAATATTTGCAGGATTGTACGCCTTTGATTTTGTCGTCTTCCAAGACTAGGTCACATATTTCATCTGTTCCCACATGGATAGATATTCACATTTTGTCATATTCATGTTTAGACCCTGCCACCTCATATTTTCTTGCAGTTTTCTTACCATATAGCTAAGATCGTAGCTATATTCGGCAATTACTACCTGGTCATCCGCAAAGAAAAGTGTATATAGCGTGTTTTCTTCCATCGATTATTTCCCATGTTTTTAAATTTTTTTACCCATTTCACTAAGGATCTGTCCAAATAGATTTTAAATAAGGTGGGTGACAGACAGCAGCCTTGTTCAGTCCCATTTGTTGTTTGAAAAGGAGAGGAGATTTTTGTCCCATTTTAATTCTTGCTAAAGTTTTGTTTGTAGTATTTTTGAGTGGTGCTAATAAGAATTGGGTTTATTTTCAAGTTATCCATTTCTATCCATAGTTGGGAGATCGGTACACTATCATATGCTTTTTTCAGGTCTATATTAAAGCTATATGGGGTTTCTCTATTTCTCTGCACTCGTTTTTTCCATTGCAATTTTTAATGTGAAAATATTATCCATAGTGGAGTCGTCCGGCCCTAAATCCCGCTTGTTCTTCGGGATGTTTGTCTTTAATATTATTTTCTATCAAGTTTCGTAGTACTTTTGAATATAATCGGCCTATAGTAGCAATCACTGCGATCCCTCTATAGTTTTTAGGATCCGTTTTTTGTGCCCTTTCTTGTGTATTGGAGAGATATATTGTCTCCATACTTCTGGAACTTATGACATTCAACCCCCATCCTTGAGGGACCGAATTTTCGGTTGGGGTTCATTCCCCTAGCCGATATGTTCCAGTTTTTAGGCGCCAGAGAACTTTTCAAATATTAAAAATAATTTTTCCCAAGGCATTAGCAAAAAAATTTATTCAATTTGCTCATTAGCAAAAAATTGCAACATTTTTGCTATCTAGTTTTGCATTGTTGAAACTATATTTTTTGTCTCACTTATATTAAATTCATTTGATATAAAAACTCCCCATCTTTCTTATGGTAGAATCTTCTTCATCTTTCCGTAGAATCGTTATTGCCATTTTTTCTTACTTATATTATTGCAAAAAAAGTTGTTTGGGATAAACAATTTAAATAATTTTTAAAGTAGTCGATGAATTGCTTTGAAATTGAGAATATTTTTAAGAGTACAATATCCAACTTTCCACGTCATATCAAGGTTTTAGGTTCATTTTTACAATAGTTATTTTGTGTGCATTTCAATGGATTAACTTGACGTTTTTATCAATAAAGAATCCTTTAAAAAAGTGCAGTCCGGTTTGGTGCTTTTGAATCTTTTAAAAATCGTATAAAGAAATCAGATGGTACTCTCTCCTGCTGGTAGATTACTCTGCGCGTTGGGTTCTGGTGTAAGTGAACCAATATTAGTTGTTACTCCCATGGAAACAATTAAAGTAAAATTTATTATTGATCAAAGATCGGCAGCACCACGATTCAAAGGATTAATTCCTGGTGTAGGTACGATTATTAAAGAAGGTTTGGGTGGTACATACAAAGGATTAACGGCGACTGTATTAAGAAAAGGAACTAATCAAGCTACACGGTTTTTGATAATGGAAACTTTTAAGGATCATTACAGAGGTGGAGATATCACCGTTATAATTCCAAAACCTATTATCGGTATCTTCGGAGCTTTTGCCGGCCTTTGTTCTGTAAGTGCTAACAATCCAATCGACGTCGTTAAAACAAGAATACAAGGTTTGGAAGCAAAGAAATACAAAAACGCATGGGACTGCACAGTAAGAGCTTTTACAAATTAAGGTCCAAAAGGGTGTCGTACCAAGATTAAGCAGGGTTTGTCTTGATGTGGCCATAACCTTTATGATATATGACAGTATTATGTAACTCTTTACTAAATTTTGGTAAAGAGGTAATTTGGACCGCAGTAGGTTAAAAATTAATTTTAAAATATATTTGTTTTTTACAAAAAATTGTGGCAAATTTATCTTATTTTTTTCTACTGCGTCCAGATTATGGGTAAATCGGTTTCTTGCGTTTTTACCCCCCTATGAGGGGGGTTTTAGGGGGAAATCCGGGAGTAAACGTGGTAAACTTTTTTGCAGTCCTAAAATTAATATTCTCGGTAAAGTGTTTACAGTTTTCGATACAACAAATTAGTAAATCGACACTCCAAAATCGTTACTTTAAAGCTTTAAACATCTTTTATCAGATAGTTATCTGAACTTTCGTTTAAAATGCTTTTAAAATCAAATTGTTAATAATATAAATATCCACCGAAACTACTGCACCAAACACAGAGGTTTTAGTTATTGAGATCCATGAAAACCAAAAAACTTGTCAGATACTTGGCCGGATCAAATTGCCGAGAAAATAACTTCCCTGGACTATAATGGATAAATAACAAATAACATTAAATAAATCTGACAACTCTGTTTTAGTTTATATCTTTACGGTGCACTCGAATGAACTCTACTGGTATTTAATTGTACAACAAGAGTTGAAGACTTCTAGTTGAAAGTACGTTTATTTCGATTCCAATAAAACTTTTTAGTAAAAAGTGAACTGTGTACGATCAAAATGTCTCAATTCGCTATACTCGTACTTATCCTTTTGTAAAAACATATCTTTTGTCCGCGATGCACTTCCAGAATTCCGGAGATCTTCTCCAGTAAAACCTTGCAAAGATTCTTATTACGCTCGAACTCACCCATACGAAGTCTTTCACGAGTTACCCTGCAAGGATTCGAAAGTTTCGCAACAGTTTCTCGTGCACAAATTGTCGCTCATTGTCAGGATACACGCCACCGTTCAGGATAATGCAAATATCCTTGATTTAACTTCAACAATAAGACAGTTTCCTTCGAGACTCGAAACACGTTGGTTTCCACGGCGAAATTGTGGAATAAAGAGCCTCTTAGGGTGTCCTTCAGACGACTCCAATTATAAATGCACCCCCTGTATGGGATTCCCCTCGCTTTTAGTGCCTGTTGTGTCTATAATGTGGCATGTGACACTACTGCAAATGCGTCGGAATTTTTTAGTCCTCCGAGATTAAAACTAGGGAAAATGTATTCGCTGGGGACGTTTAGGTGACAATAGCATAAAGTGACTGTATTTTAGGAAGGTTGTAGAAATAAATTGATAATAACTATTTTTAGTTAAATATCGAAACTAAACATTACTTTACTATTAATCCGGGTTTATATATTTATTTAAACTATTGTATTATTGTTACAAACATCTTATGCATGCGTGTATATTAGGTTGGTTAATATAACCGATTATAAAGGCATATGAAAAACATATACTAAAGATATCGCTGCCTCAGTACTTTCTGTAACATTTCAAAATCATTCATTTTGAGAAAAATGAATTTGAGGCTTTTGTTTCTAGTTTTCTCTTTGTTAGTTTTATAATTCAAAATATAAAAAGCTATTTTATGACTGTATATTACAAAAATCACTTTAGTTCATGCAATTTACCATTTATTTTTCATGTCTCTACCTTTTCTGATGTTACTGTATTGCACTTAGTTACGTCCATATTTTTTTTAGATGTTACTGATATGTATTAGTTTAATATCTTTGTTTTATCAAATCGTAAATAAAATAAATGAAACAAACGTTAAAAGAAAAATACAAACTTTTAAATTATTAAAAAATAAATGGTATGGTTTGGGTATCAACTTAGCTGCATATAAGTCTGTCTTTTTCAGCAGAGGAAATCCCTGGTGGGCTTTTATATGCTGGTTTTATAGCAGGTAAAATGACAACTGTTTTACTTCTAGTTCTCATTTTATTATCCTTAAATTCCATCCAATCATCTTCAGTACATCAATATTTGTAGAAAACTGAAAATTTACGTGCCTTTTCGACTTTGAAACATTTAATGGATTTCCATGTTACCTTGTCGTTTGTGGTTGAAGTTGTAAAGTTTTTTCTTATATTAATAGAAACACTTTGTCAATCGTATACGTCTGTCATCTCCATCTACTTACAATAAAGGGATTCCTCGGTTTTTACAATAGCTACAAACCTAGACTAGGGGTAAAAAGGGATTGTTTTCTTACTGCGGTAGTAATAGCTTGATATAGTAGAGAATACATATTGTCAGCCTCATTTTTTGTGTACCCCACAATAATTAGATATTTATGGGCAATCCAAGTAATATTCAGAGATTGAATAGCGTATGAGTACATTGAAATTAGAATTTTAGTTTTATTTTGCCGAGGCAGTTGTCCGAGTAAAAGCACACGTTTTCCATCACGCTGTGATTTAAGAAAGTCTTTCACAACCCTCGTTCCAAATATAGTAACCTTTTGATGTTGCATCATAGATCGTGAAATTAAGTTTCCTTTTGTAATAAAAACTGGATGCCTGACTTCGCGGTAACGGTATGACAGCTTGAAGATCAAAGATTGCCACAATAACATTTGAATCTTGTTCTCGACTTGACCATTTTCTTGACTTTTTCTATCCGCGCTAATTCTTTTTCTTTTATATGCTGTGTTATTTCTTCTCGTAAAGGTTCTTTTTCTAATTCCAGAGTATTGTTAAATGAGCAACATAATCAGCATTGGTCCTTTTTAGGCGTAAAGCCCATATTGAATTTTGTGTTAAAAAGTTTTTCGTATTTGTTTTTTTGTGCATAGGCCCTACCTATGTGTACCTTCTTATCTAATCTTATGTGTACCTTGGCACCAACTTAAATGCAAAATGGGAACAGACCATAGAAATTAAGGCGAGAATAGAACGAGCTAGAGCAGCATTTAGCAATATGAAAAAGCTCCTCATAAGCAAGGATTTGTCTCTTCCCCTAAAACTACGTATAGTTAAATGCTATATTTTTCCGATCTTGCTGTATGGCGTGGAGGCCTGGACGCTGACGGAGACGCTAACGAGAAAACTAGAAGTATTCGAAATGTGGGTTGTACCGACGCATTCTTCGTATATCCTGGACCAACATGTCACCAACATAGAGGTACTCCAAAGAATCGGAAAGGAGAAAGAAATCGTGAATACAATTAAACAAAGAAAGCTTGAATATCTAGGCCACATATTGAGACACGATAAGTACCGTCTGCTACAATTGATTGTCCAGGGAAAAATAGACAGTAAGCGGGGGCCAGGCAGGAGAAGACACTCGTAGCTCCAAAATCTGCGTGGTTCGGGCTCACATCGCATCGGTCGAACTATTCAGAAGCGCCGCAAACAAGATCAAAATTGTCATGTTAATAGCCAACGTTCGCAACGGTCAGGGCACTTGAAGAAGAAGGCCCTACCTTTGTTAATAGAATCTGCTTTGTACAAAAGGTACATTTCGAGAATGTTCAAACTAGCGTCAATGTACTCCCTTTTTGAATCTGTACGACAGTAATGGGATTCGATTCGCAATCGGAAAAGAATTTATATGTGAAATAATATTTTCTATTATTCTATCATCAATTTTGGTCTTTTGGTGGCATCCTCTTAATTTTTTGTCACAATACTGATTGATGTTGTTTTCTCTCTAACTGTAGTAATCCATGTTGGTGTGACACACAGTATATCACACAATGTTTTTTACAAACTCCTTCTTTTTTGACATTTAATATAAAACGATATGGGACGTTACATACACGGTTTGATTCATGTTTTTTTAGTTATGCCTTGGTTTTACTTCTTCGATAAGTTTGGATATATAGTCTCTTTCGCAAATTTATATGAACTTTACTAAAACAGTTCAATTTACACTTCTTATCACATCCAGTTTTTATCGTTTTTTGTTTCAGTGATTTCTCTTTCAGATTTACTGAGATTAGCTTCTCCTAAACCAACCTGCTTTTTTTTTGTTTCTGGTTTCCTTTCTCTATTTCTAGATTTCATAGCTCCCCTTTCTTGCACAAGTACTTGGTCGTCACTTGCCACTACAGTTTTTTCCGCACACACTTTATTGTCAATTATAATAGTTTCACCATCGGTTTCTGTCTTAATGAGTTCTTACAACCTTTCTAATTTAATATTCTCTTCTCCGGAGACGTGAGCAACAAGCGATGAAGCCAAGATTACATAGTAATATTAAATATTGTGATGCTCAGTGCCTTTAAACCTTTTACCATCTCATGTTTGCGTTTATTTCTTTTTATTCTGTCAAGCGTTAATTTGAAGAATACAAATTGCAGCATTGTTAGTTTTTTATATTGGTAATTTGTAGCCTGTATTTCTGATAGTATCAGAAATTTGATCTATTGCTTCTTTCCTGTCTTAACTCAGAATGACAAACAAATTTTAGTGATGGAGAAACACTTCCTTCTCTAACATAGTCTCTAATTTCGTATATATCTTAGTGGCAAACATACTTGCAATAAATTTTTTAGATTTTCCTAGCTTATATCAAGCTGCTGTGCTTGTGTAAAACATATAGTTGACTTTTTAGCTGCAGTGTATAGTGCTACTTAATCTTTGAAATGTAAGAAAACTCGGCTTTCACATTCTTACCTTCTATCGAACTCACCTAACTGTGACAGTGACAGTGCACTTAACTACATTTATTGGCAAATATATGTTTTCTTCATATTTATTAGTGGCTCGGATTCTCGATCAGGATCACTACCTTCCACGAACCACAATTCCATTGTTTTCGGGGTTTATAAGCCATAATCTAAAAATTTTTGTTCCTGATATGTCGCCTACGACAAAGGCCATACGGGATGGTAATAGGTTTTGGTAGCACACTGATGAATCAGTACTGGTACTTTTTGTATTTGTAGTTAAATTTAAAATCACCAAAAAGCGAGCACACTACGGGATACTCAAAGATA